CAACGTTTGAGTTGCTGCTGAAGATCAAACATTGCACCTTCAGTATGAATTGCATCTCAGTGTCAAGAAAACACACATTCTCACCAATGAACTGATAGGAGACATCATAATAGATGGAGAAAAGATTGAAACTGTCAATTACTTCATCTTACCACAATGTGCAATCAATACACTTTGTACCAGCATCCAAGAGATCAGAAGATATAGTGTGCACTGAAAAAATCTGCACCTAGGAGCCTCTCCAAATTACTGAGGAGCAATGATCTCAGATTGAGGAATAAGGTGTGCTTGACTCAAGACCATGGTCTTTTCAATCACTTGTTATGCTGCTGGGAGCTGGACAATAAATAAAGATTATAGAAGGAAAATTGATGCCTTTGAACTGTGGTCTTAGAGAAGAGTACTGAATATCCCAGCAACTGCAAAAAGAAAAAAAAAAAACAAAAAAAAAACTAAAGACAGATTTTTGTAGAAAGGGCAGCCAGAGTACTCCTTGGAGGCAAAGATGATGAAGCTTTGTCCTGCACACTTCGGGTATGTTGCTAGGAAAGGCTATTTCTTAGTTAAGGACATCACGCTTGGAAAGGTGAGGGAAGAGCAAAAGATAGGAAGACCCTCAACCAGGTGGACTGACACAGTGACTAGAGCAATGGGCTTGAGTGTGTCAGATATTGTGACGTTGGCACAGGATAGGACAGGATTCACATCTGTTGCATTAAATCATACTAGACTCTACTATGCTCAACTCAAAACATTCTTTACTCACTAGATCACCAGAAAGCATAGTAAAAAAGAAGGAAAAAGAAGCCTCCTTTAGAGGTTTGGAGCTGTCTTCCCCACCCCCTCAAATGTATACTGTAGGTGTCTAATTAGATTTGTCTTTTACTCAGTCTGTTGTGTATTTGTGTATCATAGAGTTGGAACCTATCCATAGCTGACCCTCAGGGCTGGGATGAGAGGGCAGCTAGTGGCCTCAAACCATGTACCTTCAGAATTGCAGCACAGCTTCTTGCCAGGAGGCCGCCAGAACTCCCTATTTCGTTTAGTGGTCTTCAGATATAAGTATGCCTCAAAATCACCTGTGGAGCTTGTTAAAGTGCAAGTGGGCAGTTAGCTGGGATCACTCCTCAGAGTGTTCAATTATATAAGTCAGTAGGAGGAAGAAAAGACCGAGATGGATGTCAGAAGAGACACTGAATTTTGTACTAGCGTTCCAAGAAGCCAAAGCAAAGGAAAGAAATCAAGAAGTTAAGGAGCTGAACACAAGATTTCAAAGGGCAGCTCAGGAAGATAAAGCAAAGTATTAGGATGAAATGTGCAAAGAACTGGAGTCCAAAAATAAAAATGCCCATGCTCCCTCAGCATTTATTTTTTTAATACTAGTTTATTTACAAAATTTGAACACATTGATTTTGAGATCAGATTCTTCTATTTTCCTCACCCATCACCCATCACCCATCAAATTGTACAACTCCATGATTAATCCCCCACCCCCTGCACATTCTCATCCCTCTGCTTCCAACCTCTCCCACCACCCCCCCTTTGATCCTTATATTCATTCTACAATAATGGTTTTATACAATATTTGTCTTTGTGGGACTGAATTAGTTCACTCAGCATAATATTCTCCAGTCCCTTCCAAGTTAGGTAGTAATTTACAAAATCATTGCTCTTGCACATGCTGCATAGTATTCCATTTTGTAAATGTACCATAATTTCTCAATCCATTTTTTGTGGTTGGACATTTGGGTTGTTTCCATGTTCTTGTGCTGGTAAATAATGTTGCTATGAACATTGGTATACAAATCTCCATTTATGCCTTAGTTCTCATAGCTGGGTCATATGGAATTTCTATGTTCAGTTTTTTGAGGAATCACCAAACTGCCTTCTAGAATGGTTGTATCATCTCACAATCCCACCAACAATGTATAAGAGTTCCTCAGCATTTCTCAGCTGAAGAATCTAAACAAATTCAAACCTTGAGTTGCAATACTTAAGGATGCTATGGGTAGAATATTGATGATCCAGAAAGTATTAAAAGAAGATGGAAGGAGTATACAGAGTCACTGTACCAAAAAGAATTGGCTGACACACAAGAATTTCAAGAAACAGCTTATGATCAAGAGACAATGGTGATAAAGGAGAAAGTGCAAGCTGCTCTGAAGAACTTGGCAAAAAAAATAAAGCCCCAAAATTTGATGGAATACCATTTGATATATTTCAACAAATAGGTTCTGCCTGGATGTCCTCACCCAATTGTACCAGGAAATCTGGAGAACAGCTACCTGGCCAACTGACTGGAAGACATCTATATTTATTCCCATTCCAAAAAAAGGTGATCAGGCAGAGTGTGGAAATTATCATACAGTATCACTCATATCAAGCAAAATCCTATTGAAGATTATCCAGAAATGACTGAAATAGTTCATTGACAGAGAACTACCAGAAATACAAGCCACCTTTAGAAGAGGCTGTGACACTAGAGACATTATCACCAATGTCAGATGAATCTTGGCAGAAAACCGAGTGCCAGAAGGATATCTATCTGTGCTTCATTGACTATGCAAACACATTTGACTATATTGATCACAACAAATTGTGGTTAACTGTGAGAACTCTTGAACTTGAACACTCCCAGAACACTTGATTGTGCTTATATGAAACCTGTACTTGGACCAGGTAGCAGTCCCCAGAAGAGCAGGGAAAGACTGCTGTATGGTTCAAAATCAGGAATAGAAGGTGTCAGGGATACATCCTGTCTCCATCCCTTTTCAATCTATATGCAGAACAGATCATTCAGGAAGCTGGGCTTTATGAGGAGTAATGTGGCACACAGACTGGAGGAAGACTCATCAACAACCTACATTATGCAGATGATACAACCTTGCTTGCTGAAACTGTGGAGGACCTGAAGCATTTGCTGCAGAAGGCAAGGACTATAGCCTTAAATATAGATTGAAGCTCAATATCAAGAAAACAAAGATTCTCACAACTGGACCAACTGGCAGCACCATGATCGATGGAGAAGAGATTGAGGTTGTTAATAGATACAGCTTGCTCAGCTACACAATCAACACTCTTGGCACCAGCTGTCAGGAAGTCAGAAGACCTTTCCAGAGTACTGAGAAGCTACAATGTCAGTCTAGAGACTAAGGTGTGCCTAATCCAGTCCATGGTCTTCACAATTACTTGCTGTGCATCAGAGAGCTGGATAATGACTAAGAATTATAGAAGAATTGATGTCTTTTGGTTGTGGTGCTAGAGAAGAGTCTTGAACATTGCATGGACAAATAGGTTTGTCTTGGAGAGGGTGAAACCAAATTTCTCCTTGGAGGCTAGGTAGGATTTTGATGCTCCATCTCACATACTTTAGACATGTGGCCAGGAGGGACCAATACTTGGATAAGGGCATCATATCAGAAGGGTGGAGGGACAGCGCAGGAGAGGAAGACCCTGGATGAGATGGATTGATACAGTAACTAGGACAATGGGGTTATGTGTGTCAGAGGCGGTGAGACTGGCTCAGGACAGGGCAGGCTTCAGAGTTATTGTACATAGATTCACTATGAATCACAGATGATTTGAAAGCACATAACAACAACAACAACATGTAAACAAAAATAGTAGTTCTATGTGGAATAGGTGGTGTTAAGAAAAAAGATTTTCTGAAGGCATAAGCTTGAAATAATGAGCTGCATCTGACTGGGATATTATATGAATGGAAGAATGAGAAGATTTTATTCTGGTAAAGATCAGTGTTTGAAATTATAAAACAGAGACAAAAGAAATCAAAGATACTATTTTGAATAGAGATCATAATAAATAATAATCTTAAGATTACAAAAATGGTTACCTTTGTCACCGATCAGCTATACTAGAAGAAAATAGCATATATGAAGTTGTCACTTACTACCCTAAAAGAGGACTTTTAATAGAACTGAATTCCATTAAATATTTACTAATAACTTCTCTTTGTTGTTGCTGTTGAGTACCATTGAATCAGAACTGACCCAAAGCTCACCTTGCAGTGACAGTTAGAGGCAGTAAATCACATGGGAGGAGATTGTCCATCGTTGTCCCACAGAACAGCTGGTGAATTTGAACCTCATACTTTCTGGATTGCAGCATAGCTTCTTACCAGCCATACCATATTGAAGGCATAATCATGAAGAGAACCGCATGGCAGTAAAGCATTCTAATCCTTATTCCACAAACCCACTAACTTGAATCCTATGTGAAGCTATCCTGGTCCAACTATGGGATAACAGGACCGAAACAACAAGGCTGAAAGTGGAATGAAAACGACAATTTAAATGTATATCCAAAGGGGGCGGGGAATAAGGTGATGATGGAGATGTAACAAACTTTATGAAGAAATAAACTAGGATAATATGTAGCCATAACTCATATAAGCCTTTGAATATCTTAAGAAAGAGACTTACATAGGTACTCAAACAGATATATATATACACACACACATGTCTCCTCAAAACACAAAATACACATCAGATAAAAGGAAAGAACCATAGAAAATTAATCTTCCAGTGCCATATCACTGGCTAAAAATATTATGAAAATCTGGCAAGACTAAAGAGGTTGTGTATGTCACTTATTTACTCAGAATTATAACTCCAGAATTAATTCTCCACAAAAGAATCTCAAGTTGAGCTATGACATGTTGAACCAAAAGAACTATAAATATCAATATATTGAGTCATTCTGGAAGTTGACAAACATTTTCAAAGAGTAAACGTGTATTCTTTATTTTTTGTGTCATTCAACTCCAACTAATCTCTTTTAATTACTGCTTGACAAGTTTTTGGCTAAAACACTTGTAACTCCAGAATTCAATAAGTTATGGTGGAATTTTTGCAGGCAAGAGCCAAAATATGGGTATCTCCATAATCAAGTGAAACATTGTAGAAAGAAAAATCTAATTTCCTGTGCACCATGAAAATAATTCTTCATTATCAATTTCTTTTACCAAGGTCAAGTTTCATTCATTTCACATCTAACAACCTTCTCAACAATTTCTGGATTCCTTGCTTGATTTCCTTGGTTCTCACACCATAAACAATGGGGTTCAGAGCAGGAGGTATGAGGTGGTGAAGGATGTTGAGCAGGATGGGGACATCTGGAGGAATCCTCTTTCTGGCCAGGTTGGTAATAACCAGAACCAGCAGAATTGTGCTGAAGAAGAGGATGAGGATGAAATGGGAACCACACGTGCCTAGAGCTTTGGCTGCAGCTCCCTCAGCCTTGAGTCTAAGTACAGCTTTGAGGATGAAAATGTAAGATAGAACAATAAGGATGAGATCAGAGCCCAGCAAAGTCCAACCTATCACAAACTGGTACAGCTGATTGAACGTGGTGTCATTGCAAGAGAGTTTGGACACAGACATGTTTGTACAGATGCAGTTCTTAATAATGTTTCCTGCACAGTAACTAAGTTTAGAAGAAAGTATGGGGATAGGCATAGTAAGAAGACAGTTCCGAGCCACAATAAAGATGGCAGCCTTCGACACAAATTGGTTGGTGATAATGGATGGGTATCGGAGGGGATGACAGATGGCTATGTAGCGATCGTAGGCCATAACCATAAATGTGCAGGACTCCATAGTCAAAAAACCGTTCATAATGAACATCTGGAGGAAGCAGGCAGGGAAACTTATCAACTTGTTATCAAACCAAAAAATGTCCAAGACCTTGGGGATAACAGTAAAACAGAGCACAATGTCCAGCAGGGAAAGGAGACCGAGAAGGTAGTACATGGGTTCATGCAATGAGGCTTCCAGCCGAATGGTGATCAGGAGCATGACGTTGGCGCCCATAGCCAGGAGGAAGAGGAGGCTGAAGGGCAGGGACAGCCAGTGCTGCCAACTCTGGAAGTTAGGGAAGCAGATGAGGAAGAATTCAGAGATTGGAGCGATGGAGGAGTTATTGAGTAATGCCATCTGCCGTATTCTGACCAGACTTCAGAACTGAGACTTCTGAGAACCTGGGAAGATAGAACAGAAAAAAGAAAAGAAAAAAAAAGACCTATCCAGACAAGAAAACAATAACTTATTTTCTAAAAACAGTAACAGTAAAGACCCTACTAGAAGAATTTAGAAGAATTTCTGGCAGTTTTCTATTGGTATACTGCTCTAGACATTATTTTAATAATCTTCAGTTGTACAGAAATTAACAGCCATATTGGTCTAAAAATGTTAAATTTTTTTTCCATTTGTACAGGGGTAACGCACTGTATTAAATATGTAAGGTCTTATCTACATGGGTTTGATTACAGAAACTAATAAAGTATTCTCTAAAAAAAATAATAATCTTCAGCAAGATTTTGTTTGCTTATAATATAAATTGTTACTAAATTATGTCCACATATGTTGAATCATGCCTCTCTCTTTTTTTTTAATGGCCACAACATGGGTCTCTTCCTGTTAGTTGGCCGGGTAATGGTCTTCCAAATTTCTTGGCACATATGAGTGAGCAAGTCAGGGAGACTTCATTGTGGTCAGTTCCCTCAGTGCAACCAGAACTTCCTTTAGTGTCATTACTTCTTGATCATATGCTACTCTTGAAGTGGTTCAGTGTTAACCAGTTCTTTTTGGTGCAGTGTTTCTGTGTATCCCTTCCATCTTTTTGATGCTTCCTGCATCATTGAATATTTTGCCCCTAGCATTGAATCAATGTGAAGTTCAGCCTTGAACATTTTTCTTCATTTATTTCAGCCTGAGCTGTGCACAGTGTGTTCTTCCGTTTTGATTTTCTAACTTCAAGTCTACACATTTCCTTATAACACTTTGCTTTGTCTTCTCAAGCTGCCCTTTGAAATTTTCTGTTTATCTCTCTTATATCTTCATTTCTTCCTTATGTTTTAGTTTCTCCACAAATTTAAGAATCTCTTTGGCCTTCTCTTTGTTTTTCCATTGTTAAATGATCTGTTGCTTTAATCATATATAAGTTCTTGATGTTGTCCTACAACTCATTTAGTCATCAGTCTGTAGTATTCAAAGCATCATATCTCTGAGATATTCTCTAAATCTGACTAGAATAAAGTCAAGTCTGTATTTTGATTCTCATGGATTATTTTAATTTTCTTACACTTCAACTTGAACTTGATATGAAACATTGACAATCTGCACCACAGTTGGACCCTGACTTTATTGTAACTGATGATATTGAGCTTTCCCACTCTTTTCATAGATACAACCTACATGAATCCTGCATAAATTTTTGGAAAAAGTATTTGCAATTATTAAGTTCTTTGTCAAATAAAAATCTGTCATGTCATCTAAAGTCCCATTGTATTACCAACACCATATTTTTCAAAAGGGAACTGTCAGAAATTAAAATTAGATTCAGAAGAGGATTTGAAATATCTCATTGTTGAAACCAAATGGATTTCAGCTGAAAGCAAAGAATATCAGAAAAAATATTTAAATGCATTTTTGTCATGTTAAATGTCATTTACTGACTATGCAAAAGCATTCACATTTGTATGGATTATAATATAGATAATATTGAGAATAATGAGCATTTGTGAACACTCAATTGTACTCATGCCGAACCTGTGCATAGACTAAGATGCAATTATTCAAACAAAACAAGGGGGTATTTCACAGTTTCAAAATCAGGAAAAATGTGTGTCAAGGTTATATCCTCCATCATACTCATTCAATCTGCTTACTGATCAAATAATCTGAAATATAGGATTATATGAAGAAGAATGTATCATCAGGAACGGAGGAAGACACATTAACAACCTGCATTATATGAGAACATACATTATAAGAGAAGGCACAACTCTTTTAAAGGAATAAAATAAGACTTTAAAAACTTACTGATGGAGCTGAAAGACTATAGTCTTCCGTATGGATTACATCTCAAAAAATCCTGGCAACTAAGGCAGTAAATAACATCATAGTAAATAGAGAAAAGATTGATGTTGTCAAGGATTTAATTTTACTTTTATCTACCATCAATGCCCATGGAATTAGTAGTCAAAAGTTAGATAATGAACACTGCACTGGAATGGGTGAAAGGAATGATATTCTGAAAGGAATGAGTGATTATAAACCATGTACATGACGATGGATAGCCTTGTTTTTTTTCTGCTTTATAAAGGGTACTGTGTGATAAAGCTGACTCAATGACAATCTTCAAGACTGTAGATCTTAATAAAAGGAAATGTCTTAATTTTTCTACAGTAGAGTAGCTGGTGGATTCAAACTACTGAACTTTCTGTTAGTAGTCCAGTATTTAACCCACTGTGCCACCAAGGCTCTTTACACTAAGACTAGAATAAATTAAAGACATTTGTGAGTTAACCTGTCATGTGATTACCATGCTAAGACTTTGCTCACAACATTGGTTGATATTAGATATAATAGTAAGTAATAGGACCACATGCCATCAGGGAGAGAATGCAGAGGAGATAGCACTTGGGCTCATGCAGAGAATGTACCAGTAATGACTGTACACAAGACTGTTCTCACAGAGATACCCTGAAGAAATCTAACCTCAGCCAGTTTTTATCAACACTGACAATAGAACTAATGAGCACTGGACGTTCCCAGAGTCCTCTCTCCCTATTCTTGGAGAGCAGAAGCCTGTTTCTCAAGGATGAGTATCAAGTGTGAACGCTTGAGGACAGCTTCTGATGTTGGAAGAAACAAAGTTTTCCTTCTATTTTGCCTACAATATTGTCACACTCCATGTGTATTTAGAATCACTGTCTAAAAGACATGAAACTATATGAAATTTTTAATTTCTAGTAACTGCATTAAAAATCAAGAGAAGAGACATTCTTTTTAAGAATTTATGTTACTGGAGTCAATGTATCTAAACAGTTTTATTTAAACATTCAAGAGATATTCAGATTGTTTGTACTGTCTCTAAAATCAATTGTGTATTTTATACCAACTCACCAAATCAAATCCATTGTCACTGAATTAATTCTGACCCAATGCAACCCTCTAAAGCAGAGTAGAAATTCGTATAAGATGTCCCAGCTGTCAATGGAAGCAGACGGCTACTTCCTCTAACCAAATTCCTGGTAGGTCCAAATTACTGACTTTATGGTTAACAACTGAATGTTTTTACCCTCTGCACTACCAAAATTGTTGACTTTATGCTTTATGCTGTTGTTATTTACCGTTGAGTTGGAACTGCTCCATAGCTGACCCTCAGCAGGTTTTCAGAGGCAGTTAATCACACAGGAGATGGCCTGTCCTCCCACAGAGCATCTGGTGGCCTCAAACTACGTGCCTTCAGTATTGCAGTGCAGTTATTGCCACTAGACCACAAGCGCTTATATACTTTATAGCACAGTGTACTTCAGACTAGCCACATTTCAAGTTCTTAATAGCAGCATGTGTCGAACATCTCTTCAGATTGGAAGAATTAAATGTTTCTCTTTTTCTTTTGTTAAACACGTGAGTTTAGTGTTGGTGTTGGCCACATGGCATCTGACAGCTTGGGGGTTGTATGTGAGAACATCTTTCATTTGTTTCCATTTCTGTATTTGATCAATAGTACAGATTTCAATATTCTGTCATTAATGTCTTTATCAAGATATTTCTCAGAAAAATGATTTTTCTGATACCAGTATGGGGATACCTCTTCAAAAACAGAGATAATCAACACATCTAGAGTTCTCAGTATAGGCCAACACAAGTCTCAGACAGAGACCAGTGACTTTCAGCATCTCTAATTCTACCTCTTTGATACAAACTAGATATCCCTTTTCCTTCTATTTCTGCCTTAAACTCGACCATTTTTTAATAGAATCAGTTTCACTTTTAAGTAAAGAATAACAAAATTTTCCTAGATAGCCAAATGTGTTATTAGAAGAAAAAAAAAACAAACACTTTTTCTCACATAAGGATTAGAGACTAGAACAGTGTGTTGTTGGTAAAGATATCAAAGTTGTTAATGTTCAAAGAGCAGAATCCCAATTAGAAAATAACTGAGGGTCCAGCTTGAGACATAAATTCTTATATAAATATATACACACTTTTAGACCATAAAAACTTACCTGTAGCTAGATTCCAGTTTCATTAACAAAATAAATATATTTCTTTCATCTGCTTTGTTTCCAGTTGCTTGCTCCGCTGCATAGCATTTTTTTTTTCTGAATCACTGAACCAAAGATAAAGAACTGACTCCACGCCCAGTCTGCAAGCTTCTAAAGAGTTGAGTGATAGAAAAAGATACATTCACTAAGAATCATGAAAAGTAATGGTAATCAAGATAGTAAGAGAGGGAAGACAGACGAGTAAATAGTGCAATGAGAGTGACTAGTCCTGGTGCATTTATTGTCTCCAGGACTACCTTCTCTGGAGATTGAACTGCAGCTGGAGGAGTTCCTGGTCTACAGTTTACATAAACAACACTAAAAGTAAAGAATTAATTCAAGAGCCCTCACTTGAAAAGCTTGACTTTTCTCAAAGAATACTAGACAACACTAACTAGAAAAATCTTCCACGGGAAATCAAGAATGCATCCGATTTAGGGAAATGGGTGGAATGTGATTCTGCAGCACTAGATCTGTTATACTCCTGAAAACTAATTTATTTTCCCTACTTATATTGAATACCTAAGTCCCTACATGCTTCATCATCCCCCTCCTTATAAACTTCCCAGCCCCAAAGTTAATCAACTCAAGGAAGCTACAGTGCATTGTTGCTACTTACGGTTGTTGCATCATCTGGCACAGCTTCCTCAAGGATCCAGAGGCTGTTTTTCATTACTCTCAGGTCCACTCTGTCTCTGCAAAGTTCATAGGCTGAGGCCACTTTAGGCATCTGAACCTGAGACCTAAGGTTCACGTTATATAAGGAAACAGACAATGAAGGACAAGTTCAATATGAGGATGATGATGAATGGACAAACAGCTGAAATCAGAGGATCTTGAAGAATTTAAGCAAAAAAGCACACAATTTTTTTTAATTTAAAA